CAGCGAATCCCTGACCTTATCTGGACAATTTGGCCCAAAAGATTTGGTGAGTGCACTGTGGTATTTAGCCCTTCTTTAAAACTAATTTCGTTTTTTGAAATCGAAGATAATAATATGAAAACGCTGGTCCTTAATTGTATGATAAAATGAAATGGTAATAAAATTTTGCAAACCTGGTGGGTTGCCATGCAAGTGTTCTGAGATGCTTCAACCTTGTAAATCAATGCAAAGTTCAACAAAATCTTTTTTCTTCAAGCATCAAGTGTTACAAGGCTAAAAAACAACAGATTTTGAAAAAAAAATTAAATTTCACGGCCAATTGGAGCATGACTCCCATTTAGGCGAATAAAGTAATTCACACTTATTACCAAATTTGGAGCGCGAGTAAAAAGAAATTTGGTAAAAATTTTACAACACGGGAACACTACGTCAGAAGTTTTTTTGGAACCTTTTTTCAGCTTAGGACAGATTTGACTTTACGAGAGATGAAAAATCTTCTTCTGAACCAAAAAGTTGTTTCAATGTTTTTGCAATTGGCAACGCCCACAAACATGGAGCAAATCTTATTTGAAACAAGACAGCTTTTATTTTGATGAAAATTTCAAAAAACTTGAACAGTCTAATATACTTTACTAATATATCCTTAAATTTGGCTCCTTAATTTCGAAAGAACGTGAAATTAGTGTTCCAACAGTTCGCAGAGTTTGACGGGTATTAAGTAATTCCTTAAAATTTTGCGCCAAGATTTTGAGGACCCCCTCGAACTTGAAAGGATTCAAACAACACAGCTGCAAACTGCTAGCGATCTGGTGGATTTTATTTTTGGAACTTCAAAAATTGTCCGCTTGTTTCGAATCCGTGAGAAAAGAAATCTAAGGATCCTTTTATATGTTTAATGATCCCTGTGTATAACACATAAACCCATTAAAAAATTTTACTTTTTCTCTAGTTTCAACCCCACTTTTTTTTCATTCAATATTTTCAACCAAAGAATAAAGTAAACATTTGAGTAGGAAAGTTGGGTGGATAGAAAGTATAAACCAATCGTAAATTACATTTAGTTTAGGTTAACTATTGCGAGCAGTGGTTTGATTCAATATCTTGAACAATGCTTAAGCTTGAAAGAGAAAAACTGTTGATGCCCGTAAGAACTCTAGAGGCCTGTAGAACGGTGAAAGGGTCTCGTTGTTGCAAACTATTGATAAAATGTCGAATAAAAAAATAAGCGTAAAGATTAAAATAGGAATGTGGCACACTGAGGATACTATTTTTTTTTCTCAATTTTCTCAGTTTTCCAACTGGCGTCCATTTAAAAATAATTAGTTTCATTATTCTCAATTCTTCATCTCGAAGTTTGAAGAAAAACTGAAACAGATACTGCAGAATTTTTTCGAGCTCAGTTTTATTTGAAAGAGGTTTTAAAAGTAATGTTGTGCGCTTAAGCAAAACAGAAATACGAGAAAGCTACTAATTTAACCATTGCTAATTATGAAAACCATTCCAAATACACAATTGAATTTGATCCTTCGATGATTGAAAATACATAGAGCAACGGACTCGAACTTGTTTTGATGAAATTTTCAAAACGTTTAACGATCTCGTTACCTTTAATGATCACTGTGTATAATATATGAGCCCATTATAAATTTTTTTCCCTCTACTTTCATTTAGTGTTTGTACCGTTTTTTTCTCATTCAATTTTTTCAACCAACACACAAAGCAACTTTTTGAGTAGGAAGATTTGGCGAGGTGAGCAAAAATAAAAAAAATCGTAAATTACATCCATATTATTTTTAGAATTGCGAGCAGTGTTTTTTTTTCAATAATTTGAACTATGTTTGAACTGGAAGAGAAAAAACTTTTTGTTCGTAAGAACTCTAGAAGTCTTTAGAACGGTGAAACGGTCTCGCTGTTGCAAAAAATTGATAAAATGTCAAACAAAGAAATAAGCATAATGAAGTTAATGGGAAATTGGCAAACCAATGATATTGAGCACAAGAACTTTTTTTTCAATTTTTTAACGGGTGTAAAATCTAAAAAAATATTTATTTTGAGGATTGTCATTTCGTTTTTATCTCGAAGTTTGAAGAAATGATAGAAAAAAAATTGCAGAAAGCTTTCGAGCTCAGTTTTTTTTGAAAGAAGTTTTAAAAGTAATGTGGTGCGCTTAAGCAAAACAGAAATACGAGAAAGCTACTAATTTAACCATTGCTAATTATGAAAACCATTCCAAATACACAATTGAATTTGATCCTTCGATGATTGAAAATACATAGAGCAACGGACTCGAACTTGTTTTGATGAAATTTTCAAAATGTTTAACGATCTCGTTACCTTTAATGATCCCTGTGTATAATATATGAGCCCATCATAAAAAATTTTTTCCTCTACTTTCATTTGGTGTTTCTACCGTTTTTTTCTCATTCAATTTTTTCAACCAACACACAAAGCAACTTTTTGAGTAGGAAGATTTGGTGAGGTGAGCAAAAGTGGAAACAATCGTAAATTACATCCAGATTATTTTTATAATTGCGAGCAGGGTTTTTTCAATAAATTTAACTGTGTTTAAGATTGGAAGAGAAAAATTTTTTTTGCCCGTAAAAACTCTAGAAGCCTGTAGAACGGTGAAAAGGTCTCGTTGTTGCAAAATATTGGAGAAATGTCGAATAAAGAAATAAGCGTAATGAGTTTACTAGGAAACTGGCACACCTATGACATTGAAAAAGAAACTGGTGTCAAACTTTCAACGGGTGTCAATTTAAAAAATATTTATTTTGAGGTTTTTCAATTCGTTTCTATCTCGAAAATTGGAAAAATAATAGAACAAAGTTTGCAGAAGTTTTTCGAGATATCAGTTTAATTTTTCACGATTACTGAAACGCTGGAGCAAACTTATCTAAATGCTAGCCTAGAAAAATTGTGGCAGCAGCTGATTGGTCACTTGAGTGATACTATTTTCTGTTCATTTATCAAACTGACAGAATCAAAATACTCTTAATTGTTAAAATGTTTAGTGAAAGATCAATCTTGCTAGACTTGTAAGAGTTTCGCTGTAAGAAATTTTTTCTTATTGAAGAGTTAACCTTTACGACTTTTGATTATAGGTTCCTTTCATTTTTCAACGTCCAGTTGGTTTCAATTCATGTTTTGAACCCGAAAAAGAAATAAAACCTGGTTAACAAATCAGTTGCACGGAAGTCACTGGTAAAGCGGTGATTATTCAATTATGAAACTCAGCCAGATTACTCCAAGTCTTTTAAAAAACCCTGGAGACGTATTTAATTTTACAAGAAAACAAAAGCTGAATTTTTTATCCAGTCTTTGGGTTGAATTGTTAAGAACCCAACATCAACAAATTGGGTACTCCGAGAAAGGAATTTATACGTTTTGAAACTATCCAAGTTGCAAAACATTTTAGTTGATTACAACTCCAGAAATCACCTCGAACTGAAAAATAAAAACGTGTTTCATGATTGGCCGAAGATTGGCAACATCAAGAAAGTAGCGAAAGTGGAGACGTAACTACCTCCATATTCCTTGTTACGTGCTTGGATGACTCAAGAGAGTGACATCAAAGCATCTCTAACAAAACAAGAGCAAAATGAATGGCAAGGTCAATTGTTTCACCGGAAAGTAGAAACACACCATTTTATGAGAGAAAAACTGACTATTTGAAATCATCTAATTTTCTTGATTCAGGTATATTCAAACAGTTAGCAGTTAGCAGGCTAGTCTTCGCAAGTTTGATTTATAAACCATCTTCAACCAATAAATCACATGGATCTCAGTAGCAATGACTTCCCTGAGAAACTTCGGAAATTAGTTTAGAGAAACTCATATAATACTTTCGTATTTTGTCGTATACCATGCAATTACTAGAAATGACCAAAGAATTTTACCAATGACAAGGATAAACTCATAATAAACCAATGAAAAACACATTATGAAATTTTTCTTTTTCTATAGTTTCAATGAGTGTTTCAACACCACTTTATTCTCATTCAATCTTTTCAACCACCACATAAAGTAAACATATGACTAGGAACAATGAGTGGGCAGAAAGTATACACCAATCGTAAATTACATCTAGTTTAGGTTAACTATTGCGTGCAGTGGTTTGTTTCAATATCTCGAACTATGCTTAAGCTTGAAAGATAAAAACTGTTAATGCCCGTAAGAACTCTAGAGGCCTGTAGAACGGTGAAACGGTCTTGTTGATGCAAACGATTGATAAAATGTCGAATAAAGACATAAGTGTAAAGATCAAAATAGGAATGTGGCAGTTGGAATGATTGTAAGCACTTCTGGACTTGGGATGCCCAGCTTAAAAGGCAGTTTTCAGTTCGCATACGCAGACGACGGCTTGCAGAAATGGATTTTGGTACTTTTGCCATCTGAGGTGAGTCAATTTTGGATTGACGGAACAAATTTGTACATTCGGTACTGGTATAAAGAAACGTGAACTTTAGTGTTGAATCTAAGTGCAAGCTCTCTCATTAAAAACTCATAACCGTAGCGAGTTTTGTTACAAAAACGGACCACATTATTTTGGAAATTACAGAGCCACGCGGACACGGCTTGAAAGATGGCTGAAAGACAGCTCTCCCTTCAAGGTATGAAATTGGAACATGTTTTGCTAAACGTTGTGTCGATGTCAATATTATCAAAATTATGAACAGCAGCTTCTTGTAAATTGTCAAAAGGATGACTGATTCGCTTCCTATGACCATCTTGCCATCTGAAATCGCCAGTAAAAAGAACAGATTTTTCTTTGGAAACTACTAAGAACAATACTGAACCTGGTCAGTGACCTGCAGGAATGAGAGTGACAGTTAGGGCATGAGTCTTGTCCCCTTCCAATGAAACATTCAATGTTGTCTCATTATCTGAATCCAGAGGTACTAAATATGGAGTTAAATGAGCATAAAGCGGCAATGCACTCAACAAAACAGCCAAAACTTTCTGACAAAAAAATTTCAAGTTATAGTGTTTTAAGCTTTCGAAGACCTCAGGAGGCTCATTAGGCCCACCATGTGATTTGTATGA